GGGGGAGGGATGGAGGGAGGGAGGGAGAGAAAGTGTGTGAGAGAGAGAAGAGAGAAAGGGGAAAGAGAGAAGAGAGGAGAGGGAAGGAGAGAGAGAGAAATTGAGAGACAGAAAGAGAGAAGAGAGAAAAGTGAGAAAGAGAAGAGAGGAGAGAGAAAAGGGGGAGGGAGGGAGAGAGAGAAAATGTGAGAGAAATTGAGAGACAGAGAGAGAGAGAAGAGAGAAAAGAAAAGAGAGAGGGGAGAGGGAGAAAGGGAGGAGGAGGAGGAGAGAGAGAAGAAGAAGGAGGAGAGGAGAGGGAGAGAGAATGTTAGAGTAGAGCATAAAAAAAATGTTCCCTAGGTTATATATCCAGGTTAACAGGTGGAAATGTTGCATCTGGGCAGCTGTTCTCTCTTTATTTTCAACTTGTCTGGGAAAACAGAACCTGTGCAGACAAACTTTGATCAACAAGTGTCCTCCTTTTTCTCTTTTGGTTCTCTGGCCCATCTGTAGGCCAAGCAGTGGTTTTCTTGTTTGTCTCTTTCCTTTTGTTTTGGGGAGAGAAAGGAAAGGAAAAGCAGGTTTTGCTACCCACATCAATGGCTAAAGGAAAAAAAAAAAAAAGAGAGAAGGGCAGAAGCTGGCTTCTGTTCCCAACATCTCTTCCATAACTTCCTCCCGGAGGAAGTATTTTGCACATTCTTCAAAGTTTCTGGAAGTCACTTCTCTTGCGGGGGGGAGATAGAAGCTGCAATCTTGGATCTTCTTCTCCCTCGCGGAGGAAGGACCTCTCGTTCGGGATTCCTGGAAGCCTAGATGAAAGCGGGATGGGGTGATTCTAGGCAAGGCTGCTGATTTAAGGAGGACCGTGGCATCCTTTGGCCCAAAAGGTTGGAGAAAGGAACTGGCCTCCAGGCCTTCTCCCTGTTTTGCCCATCCGGATTCTTCCAGCCCTAAATGAATAGTCTGGGTTTTCGGCCCTTATCCTTCTGCTTAGAAAACCTACAATGATTTAGGAGCTGGGTTTCCCTCCTCCTCCTTCTCCTCCTCCTCCCCCTCCTCCCCTCCTCCTCCTCCTCTTCTTCTCCTCCTCCTCCTTCTCTCTCTCCTTCTGTTCCTCTTTCTTTTTCTCCTTCTCATCTATCTCCTCTCCCTCCTTCTTCTTTTCCTCCTCCTTCTCATCTGTCTACTCCTTCTCCCTCTCCTTCTTCCTTTTCTCCTTCTGCTTCTCATCTATCTCCTCCTTCCTCCCCTCCTTTTTCTTTCTCATCTATCTCCTCTCCCTCCTTCTTCTTTTCCTCCTCCTTCTCATCTATCTCTCCTCCTTCTCCCTCTCCTACTCCCTCTCCGTTTTTCTCTTTCTACTTCTGCTTCTCATCTATCCCCTCCTCCCTCTCCTCCTTTTTCTCCCTCATCTATCTCCTCTTCCTCCTTCTTCTTTTCCTCCTCCTTCTCATCTATCTCTCCTCCTTCTCCCTCTCCTACTCCCTCTCTGTTTTTCTCTTTCTACTTCTGCTTCTCATCTATCCTTTCCTCTCTCCTCCTTTTTTTTTCTCTCTCTCTCATCTATCTCCTCCCTCCTTTTTCTCTTCCTCCTCCTCATCTCTCTCCTCCTTCTCCCTCTCCTACTCCCTTTCCGTTTTTCTCTTTCTACTTCTGCTTCTCATCTATCCTTTCCTCTCTCCTCCTTTTTTTTTCTCTCTCTCTCATCTATCTCCTCCCTCCTTTTTCTCTTCCTCCTCCTCATCTCTCTCCTCCTTCTCCCTCTCCTACTCCCTTTCCATTTTTCTCTTTCTACTTCTGCTTCTCATCTACCACACCCTTTCTCTTTCTCCTTCTCATCTATCTCCTCCCCACTCCTCCTTCTCTTTCTCCTTCTCCCTTTCCTCCTCCCTCTCCTTTTTCTCTTTCTGCTTCTCATCTATCTCCTCCCCCTCCTCCTCCTCCTCCTCTTTCTCTTTCTCCTCCTCTCCCCTCACATTTCTCTCCATTGCTCTACATCAGATGGAAGAAAAAGGGGGTTGGTGGATGGACGGAC